AAGGAGTCAACCAATAAAAATGCTGGAGGGGCTGTGGGGAAAAGGAACCCTTTTCCATTGTTGATGTGAGTGTGGACTGGTGCAACCACTGTGGAGATATATGTGAAGATTCCTTTAAAAACTAGGACTAACCTAGCTTGTTGCTGCACTCCTGTAAATCCCAGCACTTGGGAGGCTGAGGCAGGAAAATCTCCATGAATTCAAAGACAGCCTGGGCTACATAGTGAGTTCAAGGCCAGCCTGGACTGTATGGCAAGACTTTGTCTCAAAAATAAAATAAAATAAGCTATAATAAAAACTAGGATTAGAGGTTCCATTTGACCCAGCTATTCCCCTTCTTGGTATCTTCCCTCCAAAGTTAAAAACCTCATACCACAGTGATATATGCACACCCATGTTTATAGGGGCACAGTTTGTAATAGCTATATCTTGGAAACAGCCCAAATGCCCATCAGCTGGTAACTGGATAAAGAAGATGTGGGTTTTTTTTATATAATGGGTTACTACTCTACCATAAAGAAGGATAAGCTGAAGACATTTCTAACTAAATGGATGCACCATGAGATCATATTCTTAATGAAATAAATTGGACACACAGGTAAATACCACATTATTTCTCTTCTGTGAGAAACTGAAAGTACAAATAAGGGCCAAAATGTGTAATAGATACTGTGAAATAGGAAGAGAATGTTCAAATGGGAGGGGGGATGGAAGAAAGGGGGAAGGAGGAAAGGAAAGAAGGGAGAAGAAAAAAATGATGAGAAACAGAGGAAGAAAGGGAAACAAAGCTCTTGTAAATAAGGAGCAGAAGAAAGGTTGAAGGGAGGGTAAGGGAGCGGGAAAAAAAGAACCAAGTCATGCCATGTACAGGTGCAGGCTCCCTATGGCGAATGTGATCATTATGGGTACCTAAAATGTACCAGTAAACCTAATTAATATAAAAATTTGAAAAAAAAGCCATTCAGTCCCTGAAACCTGCCCTATTAACACTTAGTTCTTCTCTTTTTTCTTTCCTTTTCTTTCTTGGTGTTTTTTTTTTTTTTTTTTTTTTTTTTTTGCTTAGTATAGGGTTTTACTATGTGTTCTGTGTTGTCCTCAGACACATGATCTTCCTGTCTCAGCTTCCGGAATGCTTAGATTACAGGCAAGCACCACAACACCCAACATCACTTGCTTATGCAAGGTATTCCCAAGTTATTAGTGTTTAACTGCTTTTTACAAGCCCAGGACTGCTGAGACATGAATCGGCATCATTATGATCCTGTAAAGATAGGGGGAAAAGCCCTTCAGTGTAGTAGGTTACTTTCTGTAGAACTGACAATACACGGTAGCGTCAGTACTGCGCAGTGAGCCCGGAGCCTCACACTAAGCTATATCCTCCGTCCACAGCTAAACTGCTGAGTCACCCAAGCCTGACTCTAGTCTTATTGTGGCAACTTAGAGATAATCAATATCAAACGCGAATTTGTAATTACAGAAAAATATATTTGAGTGTATAGTGTATGTATACAAATGTAAATGCATAAGAAGTCTGAAAGGATGAAATTTGTCTTTTAAAATATTTAACTCTTTAATTAGTTAATAATTTCAAATCTAGAGAAATATCACAAGAGTAGCACTAAAACAATCCACAGACTGCTTTTGTTTCTGTTTTTGTTATTTTTAGCAGTGCTCAGGGTTGAACCCAGAGCCTTCCGAGCTACTTCTCTAGCCCTTTTTCACTTTTGAAAACAGGGGCTTACAAAGTTGCTAAATTGCTCAAGCTGGGCTTGAATTAGTGATCCTCCTGTCTCAGCCTCCCAGAGAGCTGGAATTACAGGCGGGCCCCAGGTGGCTTTTACAGCAGTAGTTCTCTGTGTGGAACTGGGACTGGTGGCCTCAAGAACTTGTTGTAAAAGCCAACTCTCAGGCCCCACCCCAGACCTCCTGAATCCAAACCCTCAGGCTGGGTCCCAGCATCTGCCAGCCCTCCAGTGGGTGCTGATATGCATTGAAGTCTGAGAACTGCTGACTTCAGGAACTGACAATCAGGCAGTGAATTAAAGTTTCTTAGACCTAAATACTGTTGGCCCCTGCAGAGCCCGCGCATGCCCCTAAGCCAGCAAGGATGTGTGTGAAGTCCCTGTGCCCCGAGGCATCAATGCATGCTAGGAGGCTGAGACAGGAAGATCATGAGCTTGAGGTTCACCCTGGGCTGCGCTAGGGGTGAAGAATGGGCTACAGCGAGAGCCTTGCTCCAAAAACTAAAAATCTAACACAAAACATGAGCCTTCCGGAAACCACAGCAAGTTCTCTAGCAGGAAAAGATGTCTTACAACATTTGATTTTGCTGCCCTCAGGTCTTCCGTCCCCTCGGTAGAGCTGATGCTAAGCGGTGAGTTTGTGTTCCCAGCCAGGTGATCACAGGACTGGTTCAGAGGCTGAGTCACCGGGGCAACTCCAGAACTGCCCCTTTCTTGTCTTCCTGTGTTAAATTAGAACCAGGGCATTAGGAACACTCTGGAGTTCTTATTATCCATTCCTGCCAACCCTAGAGCGCCCCGGGGAAATTTTCTTTCACCAGGGAGGGATGCTTACTATTTAGTGTAAAGTTTAAACAGGAAAAGCTTATAAAAAGTTAAAAATTCGAACCAGCGCATGGTGGCACATGCTTGTAATTTAAGCACTACAGAAGCTGAGGCAGGAGATTCGCCGCCAAGTTCCAGCCCAGCCTGAATTACAGAGCCTGAATGACCTTGTCTCAAAAAAAAAAAAAGAAAAAAGTTAAAATTTCAGCGGGCTCCGTGGTGCATGGCGGTGATCTCAGCACTCTCTGAGGCTGAGGCAGGAAGATCAGGAGTTTGAGCCCAGCCTGGGCAGTGTAGTGACTTAGGGTAACGGTGTCTCAAAATAGAAAATAAAAGAGCGCTGAGAATGTAGCTCGGTGAAAAGGCCCTTGGTTCAGTCCTCAGTGCATGAAAAAATAAAATAAGGTAAAAAATAAAAAGAAGACGCTCAGCTTTGCTGTTCCCGCCCCAGCTGCTGAGCGCTGCGCTGCCCCGGCCGGCCGAGGGCTGTGTCCTGTGTGCCGGTCTCCAGCGCACTGTGAGAACCCTCGGCTTCCCGCAGCTCCCAGGCCGCTTTTGGGAGGCCGAGCTACCCCTCGCGCTGGCTCTGAGCCCTGAGCCCAGCTTTTGGATCTCTTCAGTCACAGTCACGGAGGCGAAGTGCCTGTGAGCGTGGTCGTCCTTGGGCTGACAGTCGGTCGTGTTCTAGCTGCCTGCCCGCCCCCGCTATCCCAAGGCAGACAGACTCCTCTGTTCTCTCGGGACGCAATCTCCCGAAGCGCCCTGATTCTGGAGGAATCCTTTCCTCGCAGTCTAAAAGCTCCAGCTCTCACGTGCTCCAGCTCCGCAAACGGTGCGTTGGGCTGTGGGTCCGAGTGTGCAGAAAAAAACTTCACCCTGTGCACAATTGTGACAGCGTTGCTCTCCACCTTCCAGCAGAACTTTAATTTCTTTGTTTTGTTTTGTTACCGTACTGGAGACTGAAGCCAGGGCTTTTGCAGTAAGCTATATCCCCAACTCATTTTAAAGTTTTGTTTGGTTTTGTTTTACACAAAGGATTGAACCCAGGGCCTTCGCGCTAATCCAGTGATGGAGAACCTTTTAGAGCTTCCAACGATACAAATAGCCCGCTGGGGCATGAATGCCATAGGTTTGCTGCCACTGTGCTATATTCTGCCCCCTCCCTTTTCTGGGGGACAGGGTCTCGCTAAGTTGCCCAGGTTGTACTTAAACTTGTGATTGTCCTGCCTCAGCCACCCGGAGTGCTGGGCTTACAGGTGTGTGCCACTACACCTGGGTAGAAGTTTAATTTTTATTTTTTGAGACAGGGTCTCACTATGTAGTTCTGGCTGGCCTGGAACTCATGGTGATCCTCCTGCTTCAGCCTCCCAAGTGCTGGGATTACAGGTGAGGTTTAATTTTTAACAATTCATTCTGAAATGATTGTTTTGTATTCACACCCCACAAGAAAGTCTTATTTTCCAAGCAACTGATGAATGCTAGAGCAGGTTGTGCTTATGTACATTGGCTTTCTTTATCTCCCAGTGGATCATTTTGTGTGTAGAATTGTGTAGAAACGGTGGTAACTTTCTCGTCCCCCTCTACCAGACACTTAGCACCAGAGACTTCTGAGAGTCACGCTCAGTCCCGCCCCAGAGTTCCAGTGTGCTTCGTTAGAGTGAGGCTTCTCCAGCTTGTGGAACTTTTACTGTTGAAATATCAAATTGAACTGGGCATGGTGGTGCACGCCTATCGTCACACCCTTGGGGAGCCTGAGGCAGGAGCATTGCTGCGAGTTTGAGGACAGCCTGGGCTATAAAGTGAGCTCAAGGCCAGCCTGACCTGCATAGCAAGACCCTGCCTCAAAAAGACAGAAGCAAAAACAAAACAAAAAGCTACATAATGAGATCCTGTCTCAAAAATTTTTAAAAAAAGAAAAATAGAAAAAAAAAATGTCAAGCTGGGCATGGTGGCACATGCCTGTAATTCCAGCACTCAGGAGGCTGAGGCAGGAGGATCATTGCGAGTTCAAGACCAGCCTGGGCTACAAAGTGAGCTCAAGGCCAGCCTGAACTGCATAGCAAGAACCTGTATCAAAAACAAAAACAAAAAAAGACAAAAACAAAGAAAAAAAGGTCAAAGAGCCCTCCCTGCATGACGGTCCTCCGCTTCCCACTGTGCCTGTGCTGTCTGAACTCTTGTGGAGAGCACACCTTGTGGTGTTTGGACGAGAACCACTGGTACTGCGGAGGTGAGCACCGCCCAGCTTTCAGCAGTGCCACGTCCAGGCTTTCCATGGCTTTTGTGGCCAGTGTTGGTAAGAATCTTTCCCGCGGCAGGGTGCTGCCCAAGTATGCCCACTGCGAAGGAACCCCGCACTTCTAAGTCCTTCCAGGGGTACAAAGCACAGGCTGTACCCCAGTCGCCCGTAGTAACCTGTTGTCTCTTTCCTAGACTGGAGAGGCGCTGGCCTGGCTTCCCCATCCCCTCTCAAAGACACTAAGGCCCAGTGCTGCCCATTCAACCCCCTGGCATGGCCGCTCCCCCGGGCTGGGATTTCAGCACAGAAAGAGGAGTCGCCTTGCAACAACGTCTGCGCTCAGCCCTGCATCCTACGAACTGCCAAAATCTTGGCTTCCTTTTTGGAAGAAGGAAAAAGAAAATCAGAGAAACAAACTGAGTTCGTCGGAATGCTCTACAGCTCTTCTACTGCGGCATAAACAACAGGCAGTTTCATTTACATAAATCAGATTGGAAATTGAAATGGAGCTGGGATAGAACAGCAAAGCGGGAGTTGAGGTTCATGCTGGCGTGTGGGATGGAAACAAGAATAGATACGTGAAAATCAGTGTCTACAAAAGGCGGAGAAGCAGCCGCAGCCCTGCCATTCATCTCGTTCGCAGATGTCCTTTCTCTTCCTCTCGGCTCCCATGGCTCCAAGCCGGGGAGCCTGGTGGAACTGGAGGCAGGGAGAGGTGGAGGTTACTGCCCAGTGAAGTAGCTTCCTGCACAATTTTCCAACGAATTTGCCTTTTTTTTTTTTTTTTGAGACAGGGTCTTACTACATAGCCCAGGCTGGCCTTGAATGTACTATGTAGCCCAGGCTGGCCTCTAAGTCACAGCGATCCTCCTGCCTCAGCCTTCTGAGTGCTGGGATTACAGGCCTGCACCACCGTACCCAACACAAATTTGTTTCTGAATGAACCCTTGATTGCTGTACTTCCAGGACAGAAAAGGAGCTTGTAGAAAGGTGCAGCAGAGGGCAAGGGCTCAGGAAACATGCAGAGAAGGAAGGAGCCCAGGACAAGGGTACACCCCCACTTCCAGGCCTTTGCCCCACGTCAGCCTGCTCCACCTGGGCCCTCCCCTCCTCTTAAAGCATTGGGCTGCACCTCTGCAATCCCATCCCCTCCCAACCCCACCTCTGAACACCGGAGACTCGGGACATTTCAGATGTCAACCTGAACCCGGGGTGATACGCTATCCCCGTTCACTGGGTGAGGGTGGGAGGCAGCCTCTGATTACAAAACCCTCCCCATGACTGTGGTCCCGTTTGGAGGAGGAGGGACTGGATGTCAAGCACATTCCCGACAGACTCCCGTCTCACTCGCACAGCAGCGTGGCCTGTTTAGGCACATGTGGCTGGCTTAAGAGTTTCAGCCATAACAGAGGCCAGGAAAGTGCTTAGTAACCTGCAGAGACCAGACTACATTGAGGGCAGAAATGGAGATGCAGGTGTGTCTAGTTATACCTGTTGAACAGCGGTCAGAGTGAACCCTAGTTCCTGAGCTGCAAAGGAGAGTTGAGTGATGGCGTGAACTGTGGACCAGGCGCTAGAGCAGACTCCTTGTCCGGTCTGGTAGTAAAAGAGCAATTAGGCACATGCCCATGGGCATTTCACCGGAAGTCCAGCCTACACCCAACCTTCAGGCAACCCTTGCTCACAAAGACTGTGGGCATCTCCAAGGGACTCCTGCAAGTCATCATGTTACCTGACCGTTTTCACCCTCTGCCCTCCGATGCTAGTAAATGGAGCAACTTCTTGGGGTGAATTAACTTGCGCTCCTCTGCTTTTCTCTTATTAGATATAGTGAGATCATTGGTGAATGCAATTCAAATAAAATGACATTCTTTTGTGTCCATAGGCTCCCATGTGCCCAACAGCCGCCTTTAAATGTCAGGCTCCATCCTTTGGCATTAGTAAGATATCTCATTCCATGGGAGTGGTAGGCTATGGGTCTTTTGGCCTACTTTATTTGTTTTTGTATTTTGAACCGGGGTTTCTCTGTGTAGTGCAGACTGGCCTTGAACTCACTTATATAGCCCAGGCTGGCCTCAAACTCATGGTTATCCTCCTGCCTCAGCCTCCTGAGTATTGGGACTACATGTGTGCACCACCACGTACAGGTTATGAATCTTGAATATAATGGGAACTCATGAAATCAAGATACTGGAGAATGGAAATGCTATAGTCAGTTAGTATAATGTATATTTCTAATGTTTTCTGACTCTTGACATACAGGTTTTTAAGCTTTCTGTTTCTTTTAAGATGGCAGAAAAAAAAAAAAAAAGAGAAGATGGCAGAAAAACATTAATAGGGCAGAATATCAGCATCCCATACACTAAAAGTTAACTATTCCACTCGATTCTTGCAAGCTTGCTGTTACAAATTAACCTACTTGAACTTAAGTTTACTCTTCCCCTCTTATTTTTTTTTGAGACAGTGTCTCACTATATAGTTGAGGCTGACCTTGAACTCACAGATTCTCCTGCCTCAGCCTCCCAAATGCTGACATACAGGTGTGCACCACCCCACCTGGCTCTGACAGTGTTTTTTTGTAATACTTATATATTCATTCCTTTATTCATTTTATGTGTATTACCTTCTACTATTCCCAAGACACTGTAATAAATAGAATCCATAAATGATGAAATCCATCACAGAAAAGATAACCTATGCTCATTTATTGTTATAATTAATTAACCAAAACCCTTTCATATTTATCATACTTGTTACTAGCTGTTCAATGTCCATTTTCTGTGCTGGGCCGTGATCTCCATGAATGCAAGAACTGCAACTGGTATGTTGATGGCTTAGAATAATTACAGAGCAAGTATATTCTAAATGAATAGCAAATAAATTTGGTATAAATTTATTTTGATACTGTGTCATATTGAACACCCTGAATTTTGTTGAGTTATATCTTAAATGTTAGATATCATTCAAGAAAGATTTGTATATAATCTTTAAGTGTAGTTTATATATTTAAATCTTGGAAGAAATGAAATGTCAACTTGTGGTTGTAAATAGGTAAAGAATCTATGGCTTGAAATGATACCTCAGTTACCATGCTACTGAAAATGTAATTATATCAGAGTCTGAGGAATGGTTAACTTGAAATACTCAAAACTCAATAGCTCTTTTTAGAAAGCTTGCTCATTTCACTCACGTGCTGACGTGTCATTACTGTTCTGTTTTGCATCTCCTCCCTTACTGTTTCTCAGTCTCCACCCCAGGGTTCCCACGTCAGGGAGCATCAACGCCCCACTGAACAGACACCCCTGAAAGGCTAGTATGGAACAGATTATTGCAGTGAGCCGGTAAGGATGCGAATGAGGTCCAGGGAAGATCTGACTATGAAGAAAAATGCAATCTCTTTAGTTTTACGTTTATTTTAAAATTTATCTTATTTTATTTTTTTGAGAGAGGGTCTTGCTTTGTAGGTCAAGCTAGCCTTGAATTGATAATGAACCCCAGGCTGGCCTCAAACTTGTGGTGATCCTCCTGCCTCAACCTCCAGAGTGCTGGGACTAAATGTATGTACCACCCCACCCTGCTAGGAAGAAGGGTTCAGTTTAAAGAGGGGGAAAAAAAAGGAGAGCCAGTTGTGGTATACACATGTAATCCTAGTGCTCTGTAAGGCTGAGGCAGGAGGACCTCAGATTGAGCCCAGCCTGGGCAATTTAGTGAGACCCTTTCTCAAAAAAAAAAAAAAAAGGGAGAGGCTGGGTGTGATGCTGCTCACTTGTAATGCCAGCACTTGAGAGTCCGAGACAGGAGGCTCACCATGAGTGTGAGGCCAGCCTGGGCTACACAGTGAGTTCAAGGCCAGCCTGAGTTACGCAGAGAGACCCTGTCTCAAAAGGTGGGGGCTAGAGATGTAGTTCAGTGTGAAGGCCCTGGGGGTGCATCCCAGTACCAGAGAACAGGGAGAATTTAAGGAGCAAAAACTCAAGGGGAGATAGGTCGTAGGCTTTCCTCTTTTCCTCTTCTGCGAGATGAGAGTGCACTTGGAAGAATTATCACATCGGTCAAAAAATAAAGACAGCATATCTTCCAGACAAGAATATAGTTCACACGATCCATGAGATTTCACTCCTGAACAGTGACACGAAGGGACCTTACAAAGAATATTGAAAGAATAAATAAAGCAAGCAGGTTAAAGGAGGGAACAAAGAGAAATAACGTGCAAAGAAAGAAGCAGAAAAGGACGCTTTTTGCAGGAAGAAGAGGATGTGTTTTATTCATTGTTTCAGAAAGTGAGTTCCAAAATGCTCTGAAAGAAAATCACCCACAGCTGTTTGGTTTCCTTTCCAGAGGTCTTAACTGGAAAGATCTCAACAGTTCAGTGGCCAGAGAGCCTGGCTCTGTTCTTGCAGTGAGGTCAGAGTTACAGATCGTCCGCGGCGCTGACATTTTAGCAGACTCCAATTCCTGTGTGCTTAGTCAACAAGAGAGCTGCAGCACCTCTACATCCAGCAGCAGAAAGTGGGAGAATTTACACCAGCACCAACACATATGGACTGCAGAGAGGCTCAGGTTGTGATCACAGCTTTGCCGCTGTGCAGAGGAATTAGTGTGAGAAAGTCCTTCATTTCTCTCTGCCTCAGTTTGTCTTTTCCAACATGAGTGAGATTGAGATGAATAATTTAACAGGCTTCGTTTCAGTTCTTTGTGATTTTCTTTTCTTTCTTTCTTTCTTTCTTTTTTTTTTTGTCTTTTTGAGACAGGGTTTTATTATGCAGTTCAGACTGGCCTTGAATTTACTTTGTAGGGCAGGGTGCCCTTGAACTTGTAGCGATTCTCCTGCCTCAGCCTCCTGAGTGCTGAGATGACAGTGCTGGGATTATGCACCACGCCCGGCAAGAAACTGGAACTTTATATAAAATCAGCGTATGCTAAAGTAATCAGCTTTTTAAACTTACTTTTTCAATTTCTTAGTAATTGCTATTTACCTTTATCTTTTCTTTCTTTCTTTTGATTTTTCTTTTTTTTTTTTTTTGCCTTAATAATTTCGGGTCTTACCAGGTGTGGAAGTACACATCTAGTATAATCCTAGCACTTGGGAGGCTGAGGCAGGAGGATTGCTTTGAGTTCAAGGCCAACTTGGGCTACATAGTGAGACCATATCTAAAACAAACAAACAAACAACAACAACAAAACCAAAATGATAAAAAATAATCTCAGATCTAAAAGTGCAATATTTTCTTAGGAGGAAGTTGTTACAGCCAATCTTTCACTCTATTTTTAGTTCTGTTTGACAAAATGGAAGCGCACTTGTATGTATATTCACTTTGGAAGGTCAATATAGATTAAAGTTAGAGAAGGAACAGGTGTATCCACAAAGGCAGTGTGGCAAGGGACGTTATTATAAATTCATTTTGTTTACACACCTTAGAGTTTATCAGTAAGATGGCTATGCAGTTATTCAGAATTATGGAAAACCTTTGGCTATTATATATCATTAAGAAAGTCCAAACCAGCCTGACATGTAATGTTCTCTTCATGGGTCACCAGGCTGAGGTGTCGTCCAGATTTCAGGTCCGGGTCTTGCCATAATGAACTTTTGGAGAATGATTCAGTCTACACTTCTAGTTGCATAGACTTGTGCTACTCAGTATGATATCTGCTGGTCACACTGAGTACTTTATTTTATTTTATTTTTTTACTGTTTTAGTTTTTTGAGATAGCATCTCACCATGTCATTCAGCTGGCCTTAAACCTATTATGTACTCCAGGCTGGCCTTGAACTCATAAGCATCCTCCTGCTTCAGCCTCCTGAGTGCTGGGATT